GCATTGTTTGTGCCTAAGATAACTTCTGCTGCTTTCTAGTGAATTGCTTTAATGTGGAATGCAGCTTGAGAGTGATGCTATTAAAATGTGTTTGGAGATGTTGTTAGCCAAGTAACTGTGCAGTGTTCTTAAGCGTGTGAAAGCCCCGCAGCATTACCTCCTGCCCCTTTCTCCTCTGTGTTGCTGAAGCACTGCTGTCTGTAATGTGGTTCAGTCTCTGTCTGTATGATGTTACCATGTGCAAATTCATGTTTGAAATCTAATTCCTTTACTGTATGTTTAGCTGACATTCAGGGCTTTGCATGCTTTCCTGACTCAGTAATTTTAAAAGTGACATTTCTCTAAAGCTATTAAGGTAGTAATCCATAAACTATCAAATGGTTTAATATTTTCATTATCTTCTGTTAAATCTAGTATTTGAAACATAAACTTTTCAAGATCTCCAAATGAGGAGAATTTAAACCATTTGTTTCCAGAATATATTGATTTCCATATATAAAAAAAAAAGTTTGGTTTTTTTTGAATAGGCTATACAGGGAAATTAGTTACTAAGAGCGTTAATTACATCAGGAAAGAACCTATAAGTGGAATCATAGACCCTGACAGAATGCAGAACTCTCCAGTAATGAATGTAAGCATTTACAGTGACAGTATTGATCTTTGTCACTGGTAGTTTTCTTTCACTCCTCACAACAAAGGATGCTTTTGTTTTCATGATTCCTAACTCCAAAAAGAAATTGACTTTGTGTTTCTGTGTTAGTCCTCACCCTGTTAATTTGAAATAGTCATGAAGACAATTTCTTGGACATGCTGATGTGTGAGGATGTGCTCCCCTTACAAAGCTTTGGCTGCAGCTGAGAGTGAAGAAGTTAGAGCATTCCCCTGAAGAGCACGCATCAGTGGCATAAATGTTGTTAGTATCCCCTCTCTTTTTTTCTTTTAATTCCATGGGAAATTTCAGAAATTCCAGTACTATTCCCACTAAACAAATGGCAATTAAAAAAATCCCTGCAAGTGCTCTACAATTGTGGCAGTTGAAACATACAGGATCATTTACTCAGACGGTCTTTTAAGTTCCCTGAAACCCCCTAGGCCCTCAATCACATCTTGTGCCAGACACCAGTGTGCTGCAGCAGGACCGCTCTGTCACGCAAGGAAAGAGCTAGTTCAGTCACTGCTCAGGGCTGCTTTCATAGGAATGTCATGATGACGACTGGCTCAATTGTTCTTGTCCTTTTGCAATGCACACGATTTTGTGGCAGTAGGTTACATTTCCAGACGGGCAATGCTTCAGCAATTACACGGAATCAGTTCATTCTCACACGACGAGCGTCACTGTACTGCTCACACATGGATGAACAAAGGTAAGACCCAAAACCGCTGGCTTCGTTCTTATCCTAGTACGTCAGTTGAAGTGTCCTTCTGTGTTTGTGTCTGTCAGGTGGGTAGCAAATTGGAGGCTTTGCAATTGTTAAATTAGGAGCCTTCTACTTGTACACTGTTGCTCCTAACTGGAATTTAACCATCAGTCAGTCCAGTGTTACAAAGGAGATTGGTTCCTGAGCGTCCATCTACATCTCAGTAATCCACACCATGCATACAGCAGGGTTGAATGAAGCCATTTTGAGGCAAGCAGGACTACATTTGTAGCATTATTTCTATATTATGGTCTTAACCCACACTATGCAGCTGTTTGAAATTTCCTCACTGCATGCAGATAATGACACTTTCACTCAGAGCTGCGTAGGCTATGGTCTACCAACCTGGATAGCAGCATCTCCCTAATGACAGTCATTGGTTGGCTCTCAGGAAAGAGTTGGATAATCCTCACAGCTCCTCTGCTCCCAGCTGCAGGGATAGCCTGGAGACCTCTTTGGAAAGAAAAGAAAAAGGCAGTAAATGCAGATCTACAAAGGGCAGAGGAAGAAAAATGGCACGCTACCCTAGAATAGAGACAGGGGGATTGCTGGAGTTGGATAAATGCATCTCAAAGAAAAGTGAACACCGGCTCCCTCAAAGCAGGAGGCAATTCAGAGGCAGAAGCACATTTATGAGAAACTGTAATGTAGCAGAATATTCTGGAGAGAACAATGAGGGAAATAAAACTGTGGAGCAGAAAATTACTTGCCTTTCACATATGAATGGCTGTCATCTCACTGAAACATGGAGACCAAGTAAACTTTGTTTGACTCAGGTTAAAGGGAGTACCTGAAGTGATATGGATGCTGGTTCACAGCCATGCAGAGAGATGCAGCTGTCATTGTTATTACATCTGTATTGCTATGGAACAGAAGGAAAATATATGAGAAAACCCATAACAGTGTTGCACTTGAAACTCATAATCTGTGTTACAGATTATTGCTGAATGGCAGTGTTTGTGCATAACAACTTTTGACAGAAGGGGCATCCTTTTTAATGTAGAAATTAAGCTAGGTACGTTTTTGGTTTCCCAAAGAACATGTCTTTGTGTTTTTCTTAATGGAGTGGTTCCAAAATACAGAATTTGATTTATAATCTCTTTGAGGAGGGAGGTGTGAGAGGAACTTCACTGAACTAAGTTTTATTCCAAAATCTAGAAGATGAGAGATTTCTGCCTTTTTTTAGAGCTGGCTATTAAAGTCCCATAGTGATTGTAGCCTTCCATAGGTTTTGTTTTGCTGTTCGGATATGTTTAATGACATCAGACTTTGACAAGTGTCATGCTGATCTTTTGTGTTTCATTTTGAGCACTATGTTTAATAGAAGCTTGCACAGTATGTTCCCGAAAGTGTCCCAAAGACTATATCTGTTAATGTCAGTTCTGCTAAGATGTCTTAGTTAACTGTACTGTACAGGAGAGAAGAACATTTCTTGTTAATTTAGAGAGAGAGATAGCTTGATGACATATGCGAATGGCACATCATATATTTTAAGGTCCATGTATCTAGCCTTTGCTTACTAAGCAGATACATTTTTGTCCTCACAATCAGTATCTTTCTTAGTTTGAGCATCACCATATTTGAATGTGACGACTTTTAAAGAGAAAATTAATTATGTAACAACATATTTTTAAAATACGGTATCCTTTGAATTTTGTGTGTGTGTGTGTGTGTGTGTGTGTGTGTGTGAAGCCCTGATGATTTCTGCCTTGAAATTACTCCACTGCCCTTCTTTGCTCATCAGCTGCTGTCCTTAGGAAGGAGCTGGGCCAACCAGTCCAATGCAGAAGTGGTTGAGGTTATGGGAGTCACTGATTCACAAGGTATTAGAAGCTTTCCACATGAATAAAAATTCCCAGGTTTCTGCAGATATATTTAGCAGCACTGAGCTAGAATTAAAATCACAACAGTGCCTACATAAAGAAGGTGAAATAGGGTGAGGAGAAGGCAGTGCTCAGTAATTCAAATAGACACAAGTTTCTCTTTCAACAGAGGGGGCCTGAAGTGCCAGGGAATGCTCTCCTCTGAAGCTCCTTTTTGAAAGGCAGGCAGATGCCTCCTTGGCAGCTGTGCCAAGTATGTCTGAGCAGCGTGTTAATCAGGCATGTACGGTAGCACATACAGCAATGCCTGCTGCTGCTCCTGTAATGCTCTGCTGTGGTTCTCTCTGGTATTTCCCAGGTAGCTGCTGTGAAGAGGATAATTTCCACAGTTCACATGCAGTGATCTGGGTAGAGAATCTAATGCAGCATGTGGTCTGAGGAAGATGCGCCGCCAAATGGCTGCTACTGGTGGAGGAAAGAAACAAGATGAGGCTTAGCCCAGTTTTAAACTGGAGTGCTTGAGGAGGCCATTTTCTGATTTTATTCTTAACCAAGGTAGACAGTATTCCTCTTCTTTATTTCTGCAGGCTCTAAAGAGACAGCCCTCTGTGCTGAGATATGAGAATTTTTTGTGCCAAACAAATCTACTTCATCATGATAGGTTCAGATGTGAGCCTTTTATTTCAGGTCTGATTCCTTCAAATATTCTCCATCCCCATAACCTCCTATTCCTCTGATGTTTGTGTTGCAGAAGAGAATGTGAGGTTTCCGGTGATCAAGACCTGACTTTGACTACTTGTTGGCAGACAGCAGCTCTGACACAAATTGCTTTGCAAAGACTATGCTGGTGGGCAGTGCTGCTCTCTTCTTCCCTCTGGCTCCTTTAGTCTCCAGGAACCTTTTAGCCATTTTAGCCAACATGTTGCCACTGATAACACATGGCTACTGCCAGCAGATCCCTTGCACAGTTTTGACCTTCCTTCTTGGCGCAAAGCAAAGCAAGGATCCCTCAGCCCTACAGCAGTCAGACCGTGTTTGCTGTCACTTCCTCCTTAGGAGCTCAGGGTCTCCATCAGTGTGGCTCTGTCTCCACCGTGCTCTCATTTGTTGTCTGCTAAAGTTTAGGCAGAAAGATGAACCATTGGTTCACCATGCAGTTGTCATTGAGGGCACAGAGCAGTTTTCCTATCTCAGTGCCTGGGAAGCCTGAGCTGAGGTGTGCCCTGAGACATCTTGGCTGCTGGGATAGTTTAGTGATGTGTGTCTTTTCCCCAGAGAGCTTGACAATATACAGCAGCTGTGAACTTAGTGCTCTTGCTTCCTAGTTGTGGGAAAAGAAGCGGAGCAGAGAACATGTGTTCTGAAGTTGGAAGTGGCTTCTTCCTTTGTGTCCTACAGCGATGAGATACATGGATTAATATTAAATGCATTGGTAGCAGATGTGTCTAAAATTATTTCATGCTATTTAGAACAAGTCCTTTGAGCTAAGGCTGTTGTAAACTCTAATTAGTCTATGCTAATCTTCATAATAAGCAGCTATTTCTAATGCAGATCTAACTGATGAGGTCTGACAGCATTTTCCATGCTTATGGAAGGAAGGAAGCTGGTACGGTGGTAGTATCACAGTGTTCTCCTAGTTTGTGAAAATGCTGTGTTTTGAGTGCCCTGCAGGGCGTTTGCATTTGCTGTATTTGCTGCAGGCCTCTACCTGCTCTCACGTTACCAGCTTATGCCTGTCCAATTGTATTTATTTATGCAGAAAACCGAGAAAACTCCTTCAGCCGTTCCCGAAGCTCCAGCGTGTCGAGTATTGACAGGGACTCCAAGGAGGCAATCACAGCCTTGTACTTCATGGAGTCCTTTGCCCGAAAGAATGACTCTGCTGTCTCCCCATGCCTCTGGGTTGGAACGGGCCTTGGTATGGTCTTAATCCTCTCTCTTAACCTGCCTGCCAGTGACGACTTACGGCAGTCAGAGCCGGTCATGGTGTCACCGAGTGGTAAGAGTGCAGCCTTTTTTGTGTTTATTATCCATCTTGGACAATGGGGGAAAAACTGTGATTTTATGCGGCCTTTTTGCCAGAAAATTCTCAGGAAATGTATTAAGTAGTAGTCATTCACTACATAGATATTAGAAAGAAATTCTTTACTTTGAGGGTGGTGAGACTGGAACAGGTTGCCCAGTGAGGTTGTGGATGCCCCTCCCTGGAAGCATTCAGGGCCAGACTGGCCAGGGCTTTGAGCAACCTGGTCTAGTATGATGTCCCTACCTATAGCAGGGGGTTGGAACTAGATGATCTTAAAGGTCCCTTCCCAAACCATTCTATGATTAAGGGCACACAGGTAAAAAGAGATGCATGTGAGAAACCCACAGCTTCACAAACTGAGGCACTTTAACTGCGTTAATCTTGAAGGTCGCCCTACACCTTGAGCAAAGTCACATTTATTTCTTGTGAGAACAGGGAAACTGGCAGGGATCCTTCATATTGGGAAACTGCAGTCCTGTGTGCTGCTCTGATGCTATCCTATCTGGGATTCTGTGAACAGTTTGGCTCTTTCCTGTCAGAAGGCTGCAGAGAAGCAGAAGGGAGCTCAGGAAAGGAAACACAAATGTTGGCAGGTTGGTGTACCAGGAGAGATCTTTGGCTGAGTGAGTGACAGATGGCAGAGCAGAGAGGACAGAGGGCTGAGAGAGGTCAGGGCTAAGAGACAGGATGTGCTTATTGTGTTGTGAGTAAAATAATGCCAGAAAACAGGGTGCCACAGGAGTAGTGATAAGCCCCCCCACTCTTTTTTGTTTAGAAAAACAACACTGGATGGACACCAGACTAAGGGTAGCAATTTTACTGGTTGGGGAATAAATAATTCTACTGGTAGTGATAAATTTAAAAGAAAACAAAAAAGCAGGGGGGGAGAGGGGGGGAAAAGCAGTCTATCCTTATGGCATTCAGTCGTATGTGCTATGTAGGTTATTTGACATGGGCTGCCTGAGACCTTTCAGTAGTGACAGCCTATGTGTTCACTTTCCTGTGTGGTCGGGATGAACTGAGTAAGGAATACCTGTCACCCTGGCTAGATAAATGCATTTTCTGTATTTACAAAAGGAGAAGTCGGGTGTCACCTGTGCTGTGGATCCACTGTGCTGACAAGCAGTTAAATTGTGGTGCCAGTGCCAATGAGAAAAGATTGTATTTTGCAGGCACAGTTCTGACACTGAAAGGAGCCGTGCTGACCTTCGCCTGCTTGGACTGCACGGGGACATTGATACATCCACCTTATGAAGTATGGAGGGACCCACACAGTGCTGATGATGGTGAAAAAACAAGGAAAAGAAAACTCGTCATGCATTCCCCTTCCTCCTCCCAGGATATGGGTGATCATCAATTTGCAGTCATTTGTTCAGAAAAACAAGCCAAAGTCTTCTCATTGCCTTCCCAAACATGTCTTTATGTCCACAACATCACCGAAACGTCCTTTTTATTGCAAGCAGATGTGGTCACCCTCTGTAACAGCGTCTGTCTGGCGTGCTTTTGTGCCAATGGGCACATCATGACACTGAGGTACTTATCTAACTAATCTCATGGCAAAACTAAGCAAAGAGGTGGCACAGTGCCATCGCGTTCCACTTGCATTTGCTGCGGTGTGCATACATGGTTGATGCTCTGCGTTAGCTCCCTGATAGATGCATTTAGTGCACGTTTTATATACAAGTAATTGCTCTTCTGGGAGCATTGCCTTGCCCTACCTGTTCCTTGGCTTGCCTCCGCGTGGGGAATTAAGGCAGTGGAACAGCAAAACAAGCTCTTCCATTTCATAGCAGCTCCCCCATGATGACAGCTGATGGTTGATGACTTATAACTGGCATAAAACTTGTAATTTTTTCTCCCTTACTGTCAATCGGGTATAGAGCATTAAGAATAACTCAGGCATAGAAATGGTACTTTTTATCCAGTGTGAAGGGTCCAGTCCCATTTCAGATTTTTTGCACTCGGTGCACTTAGTTTCTCTTCCTTGCCGTTGCCCCATTGAGCTGACTGTGCAGCATCACTGCAGTTATGCCCTTGCATCCCCACATCACCCCTTCCCTGGTCATGCCATTTAAATCTGGGCAAGTGCCATCCTGCTGTACAGCCAGTGAGCTGAAGCTGGAGGACAGCAGAGATGTTGCTGGAGCCTTTGCTCACAGTGTGTGAGCAGGACGCTGCCACATGCCCGGCAGTGACTAGAGGCAGGACTCAACCTGCACATTGCCCAGCCATGTGGCACAAGCCATGTGTTGCAGGTATGTCCCTCATGGCAGGAGCTGCACGTTGAGGCAGGGCAGCTGAAACTCCTCCCTGCAGAGAAGCAAAGTAGAAAGGAAGGCACCATGTGGATGGCAGATTTTTTTCACCTTAGAGCTGTGACTAACTCAAGTCTCTGCTTCACTTCAGCTTGCCCAGCCTTCGCCCACTGCTGGACATCAACTATCTGCCTGTAACGGATATGAGGATAGCGCGGACCTTTTGTTTCAGTAACGAAGGGCAGGCTTTGTACCTCAGCTCTCCCACTGAGATCCAGCGCCTCACGTACAGCCAGGAGATGTGTGACAACCTGCAGGTAGGAATCGCATCCTTACTTCATGCTGTCTTTGTGTGGGAGGGCTGGAGGCCTGAGCAGCAAACTGTGCAAGTGTGAATTGCCACCTTTGCTGCTAGATTTCTCAAAGTAGCATTTTACAAGGCTATGATTTCTAGTCAAAAGTAAGAGATGATAATTTGTTGTGCAATGTAAGCCTGCGTGTCGGTGGAAAAAGAGTGAGTATTTTAGTTAATTTTCAGCATTTTAAGTGACCTCAAGGACGTTTTCCTTCATATTTGCCTTTCTGACAGAGCAGAGAAAGGTCATCTGCTCTGTTGCTGTTTGGTCTTTTTTGTGCTGCTGTCACTGTGTTCCTGTGCCCTGATGACTGGCCCATGTCTGCAGCTTGCCCTCACCTAATTATAGTCTCTGCTGTCTCTGTATGGAGCCAAATTTACACCCAAGTGGGGCTCTTCACAGCCTGCTTCTATCAAAGCCTGCCCATATGAGAAACCAACTGTTAAAAGTGACTGAAGGGAAAGAAGGGGAAGTTATACATTCAGAGCAGCCATAGCAGTAGGTACCAGCATGTGTCCAACGCATAGAAACTGCCTCCATGAAAATATGCATTCCTGCCATCATTTATTTTTCAGATTTTAACTCTAAAAACATCTTAATACTTAAAACTTCCAGTAGATGGGTGACATGAGACAAACAGGTGCTGATAGTATCAAAAAAATGCACTCTGTTTTAATGTATTTTTAATTATTTTCCATCATTTTCACTCCAGCATCTCCCACTGTACATTAAAATGCAGTAGCTACAGAAATGGTCTAATTAAAAAAATTTATTTAGAGCAAAGCTCTTTACAGTGTTGGGTTTGCCTTTTTCTAATGAAAATGCAAATTAAAATGTCATTTACTGAAGAGGAGGAATTGTGAGAGGTTACAAGGAGAAACATGAGGAATAAAAAATAAGAAGGTGAACAAGTTCTAAGTTATGTAATTAGCATTGAGCTAGGGTAGAAATACAGAAGAAATAGTCTTGCCAGCACTTCTTGTCCCCTAGAGAATAATGCATGCTGAGCTGCTTGAATCACATCCCAGCAGCACGTGTCTCAGGTCTGAAGGAGTGCTGGGAGCAGTGAGCATTGCATATGAGCTCTTGCACATTGGAAAATAGATCATTTTGCAGGGAACTAATTTCAAAATTATCGGAAAGTTTGCTCGCTGCATCTGGGAAAGTGGATTTATAAGCAAGAGGCTGTTATAAGCTAGATTGTTAGTAGCCTTAACAGCATCGTGCAACAACAAAATGGAAACAGCCCTTGCTTCTCTGTGCTGCTGAACTATGGCTGCTTCTACCTTGGCTTTTATCCAGAAGAGGACATAAAGGGCTTGCACAGCCATTATCCCAGTATAAAAAGCAGATGACCAGGTATCACCTGCTACCCAGGAAAACAAGGCAAGCTGCATGAGAGAGTCCACTCAAGCTCAAAAGCTGCAGTAATTTTTCTCCCTGGATCAGGTGACAGTGCAGGGGAGCAGTAAGTGTGAGTCACAGCTTTGTCATTGGCACTCAGCTTCTCAGGAGCTGAGTGCTTTGAGCAGCACTACAGCTAGATGTGCCTGCTGAGGCTCAGATGAGCAAACACAGAGCTGAGCAGCAGGGCAGCAACTGTTCTTGTTGCACAGACTCACTGGTTTTAAACACTAATGGGACTGCATGCTTTCTGTATCAGTTTAATTCTGGAGATTCAACTTTTTCTCTTACTGCTGCACATAAAGCTGAGCCTGAGATTTGTTTGGCCCTAATTCAGTTCACCTGCTCTGGTGGAAATTTCAGTATCCACAGCAGTGCTTTCAAACACTGCCTGATGGTGCTGCCAAAACGCACTGTAAGAATGAACTTGGAGAAGGATGGATTGTGGAGGGCAGTGGGTTTTTATTTAAAAAGAGCAACTCTGAACTTCTAATAAGGACTGAACTCAGGTGTGTTATAAACGGAGAACAGAGTGACCATCCTGCTAGCCTGAAAATTACTAAAGCAAAATGCATAATTCATGATAAATTGTTTATTCAATTATAGTGTCACCACTGTTGTTTCTAAGCAAAATGTAATGTCATCGCTGATATTTCCGTGATTTATATTGCATAAAATGTTTTCTCTATGAACACAAGACTGGGCAGGGAAAACTAAGTCCTTTTAAAGCATTAGCTAATCTAGTGAGTCCCAGTATTCACCTAGTAGTAAAATTCAGTCCCAGTATTCACCTAGTAGTAGTAAAACACAATTGTTAAGTACTGATTTTTGTTCTTCATACGACACGCTTTTAAAATGACTCGACTAGATCCAATGCGTTTGGCTCCTTAAGCTCATGCAAATGAAACAACCCCCCCTGGACCTGCTTCCATCTCAGTGATTTTTCATGTGATTTTTGTCTGACTTTGCTAGGACATGCTTGGGGATTTGTTTACTCCTGTGGAAACACCAGAAGCCCAAAACAGAGGCTTTCTTAAAGGGCTTTTTGGAGGAAGTGGACAAGCTTTCGACAGAGAGGAGCTTTGTAAGTGGTTTTTCTTTTTCTTCCGTGAATTAATACAAGTGATTGCCTGCCCTTGTCATCTAGGACACACGGAAGATTTATTTTAATGACAAAAAAAGAAGAAAAAAAAAAAAAAAAGACAGGTCACAGATAGGGCAACTGAGAAGTCTGCCCTTTCTTCATGCTGTCTGTGATTCCTTCATGGCAGCAGCTTCCTTTGACCAATAGAAGGGCTGGGGGTATGGCTGCATTGCAGATGTGAAAGAACAGAGAGCAAAATCCACCACATGTGCCATTGCAGTAAGGTGGCATCGAGGACCTCAGCCTCTCACTGCCCTGTTTGTATTTCTCCTTTGCAGTTGGTGAGGCCACGGCAGGAAAAGCCTCTCGCAGTCTCGCCCAGCACATCCCTGGATCAGGTGGAATTGAAGGTGTGAGAGGAGCTGCAGGAGGAGTCATTGGGGACTTGACTCGTGCTCGTATTGCTCTTGATGAGAGAGGACAGAAACTGGGAGAGCTGGATGAAAGGACCGCGAGCATGATGGCCAGTGCAGAGGCATTTTCCAAACATGCACATGAGGTAAGAGCACTCAGAACTAAATCACGCACTCAGAACTAAAGATCACCAAACCTGCAGCTGAGCCTTTGCTTCCCTTCTGGAAAGTCAAGTGCTGTTCTCCTCATTCACACAATCATGTTGTTTGAGGTGTGCTCACATTAATTTGCATGCCATTTTTCCTTCCCCTGCCTCCACACAATGGAAAATCTCCAAAGAGACTTCCACTGCACAACTCTTTCTCTCGTGTTACCATAATTTAGAACAGGGTACTTCTCATCTCGCACTTTTTTCACTAATCCATTCTGACTGGTCTTTGTTTTTTTTAAGCCACTTGGTCCAGCAGATCTATGCAGTAGGGCAGAATACAGGTAGGTGGCTGTGTGCATAGTGGCATTTACAGATCTTACTAGGAAATGAGGAGGAAGTCTCTGGTACAGTGCTGCGATACAGTTGTAAAGAATAGGGCTGGCTGGGATAGACAGCTTCTGTGCTTAGAGTCAGAAATAATAGAGTCAGAAAGCTCTTCCAGCCCTAGGCTGGGAATCAATTAATGATTTTTTTTTTTTAATTTATGTTAAAACAAGGTTAAAGAATACTCCCCCAAGATGCATGTTTTTCAGTTAATTGTACAGCTGGTTGAATGTGCATTAAATCTCTGGGCAAGACCTTTATATTCTTATTAGCTTTCATGCGTGTGAGGCAAAAATACTCAGAAGAAACTTGTCTGAAATGCGAAAAGAATTTATTCAGGGCAACTCTACCATGCTATACATGTATGAACTTCTGCAAAAACTGAAGTGGTAAAATAGTTAAATCTCCTCAGGAGGAATCTTTTAATGAACAGAAGTAACAGGTAAGTCATTGCTTTTTAAAAAGCATTTGGTAATTACAAAATTAATTAATTAAATAAATAAATAAAAACAAGATTTCAGTGAAATCAAGACTTGGCGACAGTGTGGGCAAGAAGAAATGGCAGTGAGGTACTTCACTACTTCTGAAGTTTGTGACGCCCTTTTTTCCCCCATTTCTGTAGGTGATGCTGAAATACAAGGACAAAAAATGGTACCAGTTTTAAACTTCTAAAGAATCTGCTTGTGGCTTTGTTCAGAACACTGCTGAGGGAAGCAACGTTCATTCCCAAATCTATCAGTCATCGGCCAGAAACAATTTTTTTCTCCTAGAAGATGTTTTCCTCTTACTGTGTTGGAATCATCGCAGTGGGCGTCAAAGAAATTTTCCAGAACATGAGTTGGAAACTAGAGTCATGGGGGCTTTATGGCAGCAACTGGTTTATGCAGTAGCCAGTCTTTCCCAAAAGGAACTCAACCATCACTGTGGCATGTAGCTTTTCAGAAGCTGTAGGTATGAACTGTGGGGAGCCGTGTCTGATTAAAAATACTCTGTAAAAACTCGAATGTTAATGCACTTAGAAAACTTTGCATGGTTAATTGACATCTTAAAAAAAAAAAAAAAAAGGAAAAAAATAGGAAAAGAAAAAAAAAAAAGCATGTTGTGACCGAAGAAAAATGGGATTAATTTATATTGAGCAAAAAAAAAAAAACTTAAATGGCAAAAATCTGTATTTTTTAAAAATGAGACTACAAAAAGCCAGTACATTTCAAGCATGTTTGCTACTGTTCTCAACATAAAAATGAGTTGAGCTGCGTTTTCTTATCTGCTACTCATTTCCCTTGAAAAACCTTGCTTGAAATCAGTGCTGTTTAACTCCTTCTGGAAGAATAAATAATTTCAAAAGCCTATGTCCAAATTTTACAGATTTTTCAAGTAGCTAAACAGGCACTATCTGAAATGTCATTAAAACATGAGAGCAGATGAATTTTGCAATTCAGAGTACATGACGTGTTGCCCTTATCTGTACTTTTAAAAACGAGCCCTAGATTTATCTTGGTAGTCCTTGAAGGCGTCTGTGGCATTTGTCATCCCTGTGGTTTCTCTGTCACTTGGTTGCCTTACTTCTCTGTTGCAGGAATAGAAAACAAACTTAAAAGAATCTCCTCTTGAAGTTAGAGAGGGCAAAAAGGGAAACCACTGAGAGAGTCCCATCAGTTTTCACTTGCAAGCTGCTCAACAGCTTGCCAAACAATGAGTTTTTTTCTTAAGTGGTTGGTTGAAGTTATGCTGAGGAAACTGCACAGTAACCCCATAAAGCTAGTGGAGAGAGCTCCCAGCAGCAAGTCCTCGAGGTGGGCCGCAGGAAGAGCATGAAAAACGATTGTTATGATATGTCACTGAATTGGCACATACAGAAAATGACACCACAGCTGTGTGGCAGTTGATCCTCTGCTCGCACCACAAAGTAATTTGCTTCTCCTTCTGAGTGGGTTGTTTGGTTTCTGCAGTAGACTCTGCAGTACTTTCCAGTCTGCAGAGGCAGAAGAGAACAGTAAGTAGAACCCATCACTTATTTATACAGATGGGTTTTGAGTTTATAGATACAGTACAGTGCCACACAGATGAACTGTTCACTTAGAAATTGTTCCAAGATTGCCTTGGAACCAGGGCTCTGAAGACTTCTTTTCATGTACCTGGATAGAGCTCCAAATTAGAAAAGGAAAGATAGGAAAAGGTAGAAGAGCAGCAGGTGGAAAATTTTAAAGTTTTCTGTATAAGAGAAATGGAAGATGTTCCTTCAGGGAGTCCTGGCTGACACCGATGCAAACAGACAGCACTGCCGTCATAGCTAGAGCTTAACTTCACTAGATTTCTATCATACCCATGCTCAGATTATCTGTCTCAAAGATGCCTTTCCTCTATATTTTGCTTTCTTAAAATAAAACAAAATAGTACAGGCTAGAAATCTGGCTTTGCTATCATCCCAGCTGCACAAGCTAAAGGGATGGAACAGATCTGACATATGAAGTTTTAAATTCATCCTGGAGCACAAGAGTTGTATGCTTTACAGAACTTTTATGTTTCTCTGGGGGCAAAATCAAAAGAAGAAACCTGACTGGTCTGGCTGCTTTAGGAAAGAGGCTGGACAGCTTCTTCTCTGTCACAGAACTGTAATTGTGAGAACAGTAGAATCTTGGTTGGAAAAGGGTCAAAGGCCAAGTGATGCCTGTGGTTCAATGAGAGTTAAGGAACTGAAATTGTGCATGACCCACAGGAGGTCTGTGCATTAAGTGTCTGAGGAAAGAGCAAACTCCCTGCTCTGATGCCAGTATAAACTGGGCTGGGGAGATCCTTGCAGTGTCCCCATCACAGAGCTGGCTGCTCCCCTATGAGAAGTATCACTGTAACCAGGCATCTGGAGTGAGAAACAGCTACACTACCACAGTCATTCTCTCTTCTGTTTCAATGCAAATTCACTCTGCTTGTGCACTAGCCTGTACCACTAGTGTGTCTCTGGGCAACAAAGCCTTTTTGTGCAAATTGTTCAGGCCCCTCCAGCCAACCTTATAGACTTAATTCTTTTGCTCTTCTCTGCTCTTATGGAGAAGTTGAGGAGTCTGCATCAGTATCAGCATACCAATCAGAGAGGGTTCTGTACCCATTCCTACACTTACTTATGCCCTAAGGTGGTGCAAATGAAAAGGCCTCTGCCAGTTCAAGCGTGGCACCATGTTTTCCACTGTACTTAGTAGTGGAATTTATTAAATATTTATTTACTAGTTAGTTTCCACTATTAATTGGTGTAATTGGACCTTAGGAAATGAGCCAGGTGAATGCAGGCACACTGTGGCACACTGACATGACCCGGCAGCGAGCAGTGCTGCATGAGCTTCCTGTACGCTGCACCTCGTGTGGGTGCTCACAATGCAAAGCTCCCCTCAGCTTTGATGTCAGCAGTCCCTGCAGGCTGGAGCAGGACCCTGCTCGCTTGTTGGAGAACCTAGTGTGAAAATTGGATAATGACCTTTAACTGCTAATCACCACAGTATGCCCAGAGGAAAAAAAGTGTCTTCAGCAAGTCATGTGTGCAGTGCCAGACTCACTGGGGCAGCCAGCCACTCTCTGTCTTAACAGGAGGGAAAAACCTGCCCTTAGATTTCCATCTGATGCAACAGAAGAATTAGAATTCAGCATCCCGTAAACTTACAGTTTTTAATAACAAGTTCCAAGCAGCTTTTCTCCAGTACTCCCCATTGGGTCACAGCTGTATCTCGCTTTCCACTCTACGTATTTTCAGTATTTCCAGACAGTTACAGATCCCTATTTCTGTTACGTTTGCCACTCGTGACTATACTTATCAATTTTCTTGTAGGCTGTAGAGATCTAAAAAGTTGTATATGTTTGTATATAGAACATTCTATATATAAAATATATATATGTAATGTATATGTTGTATAAGTTTGGTAGTGCACACTGTTAAATGCTTTCTATTGAGATTTATCATGTATGTGAAAAAAACTTCACTTAAAAACGTCAATGAGGGAGGAAGAGCTCTTGCCTGGTTATTTATGCTGTCCCTGTGCGTTGAAGTCACGCGCTTTCGGCGTTCCACTAAGAGCACCACCTACAGCCCGAGGCATCTCCAGCAGTGTAATCCTCAATTACAACAGACCCGAATGCCTGGAAGTATTTGTTCCATGTAAAATGCTTCTGTTCACCTGAATGCCCTTCTCACTCCCAGTCTTCTTTACAGGAGTGCCCTCTCACAACCACATCCCCAGCCCCGACGCACCCAACAGCAGCACCTGTTTGTCTGGGTTTGGCCAGTTGTGTTCACCTGTATTCATAGGGATGCGTATGGACTGAATATGCAGAGAAAATACATAAAATCAGATTATTTGTATGTATCAGAGTAGGCAAGTCTCTGGTGAAACACAGGCTATTTGTTAAAAAAAAAAAATAATCCATTCAGTGGAGTGCTAATTTAAGCTTCAAATGCTGAGTGAAGACGAGCTGAAGGAAGAAGTGAGAGTTGGGTTTTGCTTTGTATAATTACTGTTTTCTAAATGTTTTTTTTTTTTTTCCCCCACAGTTCTTCATTCCTCTGTTTGCATCCATTAAACATCCCCTGTATTACCACTATAGCTTCCTACAAGAATGTTTAAATTCTCTATTTGCTGCACATGTTGTATAAAATTACCACGTATAGAAATCCTCTACAACAGTTTACAAAGCCCTTTTACAAAAGCCATTTTACAGTAGGATGTATTATAATGAAGTTACACATACAAAAATAAGTTTTTTTCAAGATACAGTTGAAAAAGAAGTGAAGAAAATGCTGCAGCTTAGCTCAAAGCTGTGTTACACCTCAGGGCTCCTCCATTTATGAACTGGGTGCATTGTAACAGAAGCAGAAAGCCCAAGTTCGTTTAGTTACACCCCTTAGTATCCTGATGTATTGTTTTCCATAATCTAAAGGTGAATTCAAGCACAGACTATGTCAGTGTGGAATGGTTTTTTGCCTTGGCGTGGGCTCGGTGTGAACACACTCTCTCTCATTAAGGAGCCACATGTGGCCATTTTGGAGTCTGCGCTTCATCTCGGTGTGAGCGATAGGCACGTAAATCTGTGTTTCCATTCATGTGTTCTGTTCTGTGATTAAATCAGCAGCTCAAACGTTGTACTTTCTTAGATAGCAACCAGTGCTCAGATTTGGTGTCATTTCGGTGGACAGAGTCTGTGTGGCTTTAACAGTCATCGCTTCCATCGCAGAAGGAGGGCAGTGCTGGGGTGAGCCACACGCGCTGAGCTAAGCCCATCCTGTTCCCATGGGTAGCCCAGGGCAGCTCCACAATAGGAAACCTACAGCAGCTTTAACTGAAGCTGTTTTGAGTTCCCAATTTAGGAGGAAAAAAGAGGAAAAGAAAATAAAGGAAAGAATTGCTAAAAACTAGTTGATGTAGATCTTTTTTTTTCAGTGTGTAGTCCTATGTTATTTGCAGCAGTTCAAAAGGCAAGGGGCTTGTGCAGAACATTTGGATGGAGTTTACACTGCTCACTTAGGAACACAGAAAATCCTGTGGCACCTGTTGCTGAGACTGTGATGCTCAAATCCCTTCCTCTGACAGCAAAAATGGAGTCACAGCCTGAACCCAGGCAATGCTCCTGTGCTTTACAAGTTGCTATAACACCCATCCCTGGGAGTATCAAACCCACTTATGGACTTCTCCGCTGAGTGCCCTTCATGTCACTTCCACCACGGGGCAACAACAGTCCTGTACAGGCTGACCTCTCAGCAGTGCAGAAGCATGCTTGTTTAATTGCCAGCAATATGATTCACTTGCTCTGCCAGGAACACCACACTTTCATTCTAGTCCACCTTCCATATTCCAGCTACAGATTTAGAGGACAAAATGGTAAGAAAAACCGTGCAAGTCTCAATAAAATGAGAGAAGAAGGGGAGAAAAGCCAAAGGACTGAACCAGTTCAGAGCATATGCCAGCTTTCATCATCTGTCTGTCTGTCTTTTTCTGCTGCCCTGTACAGGAATGTGCAGCGCTCTTTTAGTAGGCAGTGCTACCAAGGAGAGCTTTGTCAAAACAAGCAGGACTAAACAAGGTTGCTGTATGCATATGAGGAAAGTGCCGGGGGAGCCGTATCAGCTACTGATGGGAGCGGTTCCTGTACTGAGTCTGGAAAGCTTTGCCCTGTACTGAAAGGGGTTCAGCATTAGGATGAAATGTGAGCCATTTTGATAGGAAATTGGATGTGAACCAAGTAGAACAAGACTGCTCAACAAGTCATGGGAATGGGCTGCACAGGTGAGAGTTTGGGGCATGTAGGGTCACACTGAGTGAAGAAAGTGCAGCCTCGGTGACTGCAGCTGTTTGTTGGCACGGGATCCTGTCCCTGTTGGCAGCCAGACACCCACCTGCTGCTGCATCAGCCTTGCAGAACGGCACAAGGCAGGAGGAGGCAGGAGCAACTCTGAGTGACAAAATGCCAAAAGAAACAAGACTCCTACCCTACCTGTGGGTCTCTCCATCTTCCTCCTGGGCTGCCAGACCACGAGTGGTGCTGAGCACACTGCGGTGCTGACTGACAAAAGCAGGCAGGCTGGAAAGAGACTCCAACAGCCAGAGGAGCAGAGAGCAAGCACACAGAGGCATTGCATCCTGGCTACAGGAAGAAAAAGAGGGACCTGTGCTCCGAGTACACACTCCTGAGCCAGAGAAAAGCTATTTCCAACTGGGCCTCAGCCCACTGCAGGGGCGTAGGGAGGGAGACACAGGCAAAAATATGTGAATAATGCACACAGCCAACCTCTTCCTGGCTCACCTACCAGCTTCAGAAATTAATGAGTTTCATTTTCAGCAGCATTCCCAGCAGTGTCTCAACTTACTTAAGTCCTGTTTTGCTTCCCGTTCTTGGGAGAATCAATGAGACTCATTGGTAGTTAAAGCCTAATCAGAATGAAGGGATGCAAATAGCAGCAATCAGGCAGCAACTCAGAACCAGTTCTGCTATCATGACTCAAACACAGCAGCTGCCTCATAGAGCAGTGGCCACTTTTATCTTCCCATTTGCTCCAAATTACTGCTTAATTATAATGAAGTCATCAAGTTTGTTTATCAAAATAAGTTTAGTTCAGTGTCAGTCATTTCATTGATTAGCATCCCCATCTGGGGGCCTTGCTGAGAACCACCTTCTGCACTCCTAAAGGCAGTCAGTCTGCAGGAAGGGAATGCTGCCATGTGACAGAGAGTGGCTGAAATCACAGAGGCTGCAGCAAGGCCTGAAATCCAGCACAGGTGCGCCACTGCATGACACCTAGGAACAGGAACTCATTCACAAGCTGTGTGAATCGGTAATGAATCCAACCCAGCATCGATAAAGGCAGAGCACACAAATGGTCTGACACCAGGGGGCTGCTGTTCAGGTCTGGTAATAACAAAGCTTTAATACGCCCAGAATAGAAAGGAAGCAACTGCCTTATCAAGTGAATGCCACGGATAAAGAGCTCGGCTGTCAGGTGACAGATGTGGAAAACCACCATGCAGAGAGGGCAGAAAGGAAACAAAAAAAAAAAAAATATCTCAATGCAAAAAGAAAAACATAAATCAAAAGAGGCAGGTGGGTCAGCTCCGTGCTGGGAAGGACAATGGAGCATCGCTGCTTAGTGCCTGCCTCCATACCATGTGTCTGTTCTGCTGCGTGCATCCTTTGCAGTAAGGGTGACAGAGCACTGGCACAGGCTGCCCAGACAGGTTGTGCAGCCTCCTTCCATGGAGATATTCAAGACCCATCTGGATATTTACCTATGTGACTTACGTGCTTTAGCAGGGGAGTTGGACTTGATATGTTGAGGTCTCTTCCAACCCCTGTGATTCTGTGATTGTGTGATTAAAGCCCAGGATGTGGCCTTTTGTGCGTGGGCCCCATTAACACCTTTTGAAACTCACCATTCCCATGAAAACTTGGTGCCCAATGCTTCTTTCTGACGTCAGGATAACAGCCACTCCAAAACCACCACATTTGAAGTTCCAACATGCTCTCAGCCTGTTCAAAGCCAACTGCACAGGATCGTCAGTCCAGTTATAAAGGAAACTTCAAAAGGACACTTCTGACAAAGGATCTGGCAAAGTTCAGAAGTGAAAGGAGAATAATTAGGAGTGGAAAATATCTCAGAGGAGGCAGGTACGGGAAGAGAGAGGTTGTTTGCACCAAGGAGGAGCTGCAGATGAGAAGATGTGATAAAGCAATTACAACAAAGAAGATGGCAGGAGGCACCCATCCTCCCTTTCTTTTAATATACAACAGCCACACAATGAAAATCATGAATCCAAGGTCAGGCACTGTTTAAAATTAACAAAAACAGTTGAACTTGCACAGTCCATGCAACAATCTGGAAGGGAAATGAAACCATGTGATGTGAAGCTTAGCCAAAGCAGAAGGTGTTAGTGAGCAGTGCCACCACACATGGGCAGATCACTTCCCTGCCAGCTCCTCCCTCAGTCCGAGGAGCCTCAGGTGGCTCCTGTGTGCAGCCTCCTCCTGCACAAGCAAACCTTCCTGCCTGTGTTAAAGACACAGAAGCTGAGCATAGGATGAGAGCCAAGCAGCTTTCAGCAGGCCACCGATGTGAGGCTTCCCTGCAAGACCAGTCTGCACCAAGAGACACAGCTCACACCCACCGCTCAGGGAAACTCTGCTAACACAGCCAATCTCAACCACCAGCAAGGTGAGCACCTGAGCTCACCACACCAAGATGTTTTTCGTATTTTTTTTTCTCATTATTTAAAATGAAGGCTTTGGCTGGAGATTTTGTTAGTTACAAGAGTTCTAACATTGTCCCCCAGTTGCATTCAGTGTGAGCACTGCACAGCTGCTCCATGAGAAATGCAGCCAGCTGAAAACCACCTCTGCACTTCAACATCAGCTGCAGAAACCAGTGCAGAATGCTCCTAGTGGATGGCTGTGGAATTCAACAGTAAGTAACGTACAAACACGGTGATATTTTATTTGTTTGTCCTGTACACAATTACACATAAAAACTTCCATATAATCTTTGTTTAATTAAATAATCTAGTTCATTTCATATGTAGTAAATTCATTAGGCTTTGTTTTAAATTACAAGAACAATTAATTTAAATACTATGCTTTTAGTAATTAATAGTTTCCACAATTCCATAAACATGTCTCAGCACCATCTGACCTTTGGAAGGCTCAGCATGGTAAATTCATAGCAGCTTCCACATCCCTGTTCAGAAGATGGTTCACAGTGATGACCACAGAAACACAAGCAGGACACCTGCTGCTGCCTGCTGGTGTGCTGAGCATTGCCCTGAGCAGCTCATGGTGTCTTCCAAAAACAAGAAAGCCATGTTTCACATCTACAGCTCCAGGTCCTGCAGGTCTCCCCAGCTAGGTCCAATTTTCACTTTAACATTCAGTTTTACTGAGAGTTTGACAGCGTTTTCCATCTCGTGCTTGACAATCTGAGCTACCTGCAAGAAAACACACACTGAGTTTTGCAGCACTGTGTAGGACCCAAAACACAGCAGCTCGGTGCTCTTTCTGTTGGTAGCTGTGGTGGTTGGGCATCTGAAGCTCTTCCATGCATTCACTGGCACTGACTTCCCACTGATGGACATGTAAAGGAACAATTTAATCCTGATTAGGATTTATGAACTGGGAGCCTGCTTGAAACAAGTAACATTTTATGCATTGCAGATTTGGGTTTCAGATTATTTAAAATTACTTTAAAAAAAGCAAAAAACAAAAAACAGAAGTAAATTCCCATTGAATGCTTCAGAGTACAGCACTCTCCTCTTCCACTTTGTTTGCATAAGTGAGCATTTCATGGAGTCTGCTCTAAAAACAGCAATGTACAGGAAGCAACACAAAAAATAAACCAGTGCAAAGAGCTGAAGAGCTATGCTCGTCCTCCTTTCAGTGTGAGAGGCAACCTGTGAAACAAATTCTATGGAATGCTGAGAAATACAAGTTGATTTGCCCTCAGTTTGGTTGCAGCAACTCCAACTTGCTGCCCTCTGAAGACATTTCTAAGAAAATCTTCATTTAGGTACAGTGTTGGGAACCCAGAGGATATTTTTGCTCTGGACGTTCTGGATTGTGAGACTGGGTATTTTTTACCATGGCAAATAGCTGTCATGGACCAAAAGCCCACATGGAGCCAGCCTGTTCTGCTTCCTTGTATGAGAGAATCTTTTCATCCACACTCATCCCATGAACCACAGCTGAGTAAGAAGCAGCTCTGAAATGATTGAGGCACATCTCAGCCAGAAACTGCTGAGACAAACTGTGAGAGCTGTCCAGATATCCAACCCTTCAGAGCTTTCCATTCCTCATGGAGCCCACAGGAAAAATTACCTCATAACACTTTCACAGAATCATAGAAAT